GTATTTTTGAACATTTTTGAGAATATTTGTTACCTGACATCACATTTGACATAGTCTCTTTATTTTGAACAAATAGTTCATAAGGTAAGCTGTTGTTAACTAACAAAAAAAATTACATAATAACAAACGACAGAGATATTGCGTCAGAAGGACGTCTGGCTTTTCTCGTGAATCTGGCGTCGAAATGATTTAAATTTCTAATTATTGACAAAATATTCACGAAATTAAGTCACCATATAATGTGCAAAATCAATTGGAGATCTCGATTTTTTCGCTTTGAAGCAAAAAAAAAAATTGTTTTGAGAATCCGGGTATCGATCCCGGTACTTCCAGCATGCAAAGCGGGTGCATTATCATCTGTGCTAATTCCCCCGTATAAACTACTCAATGGCGGGAAAGGAGAGAACTTGCTCGTCAAGCTTCAAAAACGATAAACATAAGTGTCTAATGTGCAATGAGTACAGGATCGACGAACAACAACAATTGGCAGCTGATAATTCAACAAAAACAACATCTACTTCGGATTTTCTCATTTCTGAAAAAAAGAAAGAAAAGCAGATGAATTAACCAAAAGTATAATCACACAATGTTCTCTCCTCACACCCTACTTTCGTATAGCCCTAAAGTTCCGTCAATTTCAGAAGCTTCCGAACTAATCCCATTTACATCTGCTGTTTTCAATGCATCCTCGCGCCCATTTTCTTTCCCACTGACGCCACAACTGTCTCGAGTCGATTGCGGATCGCGTTCGTCAATTCCATGCTCCACTTTGTCAGCACCCTTTAACTCATCCTCCACGCTCATGCGAAGTCCTAGAAGCTGCTTGACCAATAGCAGCTCTAGAAATGTTGCAAGCGCAGCCCAGCCGCCAATAGCAACCACCGTTAGCAGTTGGACCCCCAAGAAGGACCAAGGACCGCCCTTGAGGATTCCAAATTCATGAGAGAACCTATTTTCGAGTATGTCTTTCTCGGCAAAGAAGGCGACGGACAATAGGCCCCAAATTCCCGCCATACCGTGCGTGGGCACGCAACCGACAGGGTCATCAATTCGGAGCTGCTCGAGAAGAGCACATCCAGGGCAGGCTAGGAGAGCACCTACTGCACCAATGACAATGGCTTCCCCCGGACGAATAAGTGAACAGATGGCTGCGTATAAAATAGAAGAGATGTAAATGATTGTTAAACACACACACAAACATTGTCGGACGAAATATAATGCGAGTGTGATTCCATTTCATTACATGAGAATACTCTCAAACCGTTGGCAACGAACTCT